CACGCTCTCTGCCATGGCACGTGGACTGCCCGCATTTGGCAACTCAACCTTTGGCTTTTGGACCCTGCTCGCAAGATGCACCGGACAACCTGCATATCAGCTGCCTCCGGAGCAAGGAGGTCCTGGAGCGAGAGCAAAGCTCAGGACTTTGCAATACGTCTTAAATAGAAAAAGCCCTGGTAGAAGACAGCAAATGCCACAACTTAAATCTTAGGGTTCCTCCTCTTTCCTACAATCCCGCAAGAATAGAAACAAACCCGACCGTTTGACAACCTGCACAGCTGAAGCAGAAAAAAGGGAGGTGGGATACACCCAGAAACGGTTTCACCGATGTCACTAGCTCCACAAACGCCGCCTGCACAACTTAGAGCTCTGAATCCTGAACAATTCCCAGGAGCCCCGGTGATGGTAAGAGGCAGTGACAAGGGGACAAACAGAGGCAAACTGGCTTTTTTCCATGAAGTATTACAATAGCCTGGGTTTGCATTCGGAAGTACAGACATGCATGCAACAAAACTTCCAGATGGCAGAAAATAGTGACAAAACTTTCTTCAGGAAAAGGGGTGTTACCCAGAATAGGTGCCCATATTCCTGACTTGAGAGAAGTGAAAGCACTAGTGATTAATTTACCGTCTGATGGAGCTATTTTGTATTGTTTTACAGAGTAAATAATCGCTTAATAATCATTTGCTTATTATGACGCATCCACAAACTAGCTTTAAGACAATTTTTGTCTACTTATTCCTCACTATATTTTAAGGTTGTAAATAGCAAGATGCAATTTAACAGTCAAATTTACTATTCCCATCATCTTCCCACACCATTTTCTAATGTGAATATACTACTTAAAAAAAAAAAAAAAAACCCTATGCAAACTCTGTAAGCCACTGCTATGTTGCACCCTTTGGTTTCAACTTTTAAAACAAATCTGCTCCTGACCCTGAAGGTAACACTAGAAAAAGGCAGCACTGAAGTCAGAAAGCAATTTGATGATACGGACAAAGTAAAACGCTACTTCAACCTCTACTAGAGGGAGAATGAGTTGATCTGACTATAGGGAAATAATTCAGTCTTGAATTAAATTCTCAACTAAGTTATATGAGTGCTTTCAAAGGCAGTCGCATATGAACCTCAAAATAGTTGATTCTGCTGCAGATTTTAATTAGAAAACACTGTTGAAAACATCAAATATGGTCTTTCATGAGCACATATGTCAATACCGGGACATACATGTCTGTTATGATGGTGACTAGATTTTAATATCCTCTTTTGTCCAGTGAATACATTAGAGAAGTCAGATTTATGGTTGATATAATAATGGGACAAAAATTTCCACACCAGAAAAATGAATAAACATGAAATATGTTGATAGCTATTACCATGTGAAAAGGCCTTCTAAAATTTGCTGCAATTACTATTGCTGGTGTCTTACTTTTCTGATTCAGAAAATATCTGGTGTACTCGTCCCAAATTTCCAGATAAAACACATTTTGGTCACAACTTTCTTCTGGCTCAGCTTTCTCCTACTTCACCTGTTTGCTATTTAAAAGTAAATTACTGGGCGTTTTACTAACTTAAGTCTTGTAAGGATTATAAGCTAGACACATTCATGGGTACCAGTGATCGGCAATGACAAAGAAGTCTGTGGGAACCAACACATGCGCACGACTTCACCGAAAAATTGACCAAGTATGGTATAGTATAATGATTATATAGGAACATATTCACAACTCTGACTACACCCCGCTTAAACAAAGCGTGAGAACTAAGCCAAACAGGGAAACACCAGCTTCCCAATACTCAGGAAGGCCAGCCTTGATGCAAGGTGGAGCTGCCTCCCTGCAGCTCCTGATTTCAGCAGGAACGGGTGGAGCAGCACTACGCCAGAACACACCTATTCTCTCTACCACAAGAATACAGGGCCGAAAGAAACGGCAGAGCTTTCTCTTCCAACTTTCCGCAGAAAACAACTTTTCTTTGCAAGAAATTCTCCCCTGAAGACCTCAGGCTGTTTAAGTCCATTTTGTGCATGATTAAGTATTTCTCATTTTTGTCTCCCTGAGATGCGGCCATATTAACAAGAGAAGTAACTTCTTCCTGAAGAAGTCAAAGACTATTTGTAAATTGCTGTAGCTTTCCTGGTCGTGCCTGGCAGGTTAAGGAAAGCGACCCTACAAGACACGCAACACCGGAGCTCCAACTGCTGACGAGCTGTGCTGTACACAGCGCAGCTGAAAAGCACTGCGCTTCCAGTTATACTACTTTCATTTAACAGTTACTATAATCTGGTTTTGTGCGTAAATATATAGCAAGAGGTGCATATACGCATTTAATCACTTAAATTTTTTTTAAATGATGTAATAAAATACAAGTAAAGTCTTCAACTTTCCGATAACAACCATGACTGATTTTCTATATGCACCATAGCTCACAGTATAGCCCCTCTTCTCTGTTTCAATGGCATACATTCACAGTTTGGCTAACTTAATACATCATTTAAAACAAACTAGAGTCAGAAAATTTAGGGAACTCCTGAAAGTCACAGCCATACTCAAGTATATTTTAAAAAGTCCTAACATATTCAAAGATAATACCAAGTACCAAAATATACAAACCTTGCAACAATTTTGAAGCTCAAATAACATATACCCTGTTGCACAAACGCACAAGAAGTATGTTCCCCCCTCACCTCCTTTAAGTGACACAGAACACCAGCCCTCATAGACATGTTAGGTGCTGAGCAACCCAGTGCTTTCACAGCTCCTAAAACAACCCTGGAGTGATTGAATTGCCTAATGGGCGGCGGACTAGACCAGAACTCAGAAAACTGAATTCTATACTGATTCTATTGCTAACACGCTCGCAAGCTTAGGTACATTATTTTCCCTTTCAACACGGGGAAATATCCCATTTCTTTTATAAAGCACTTTGAGATCTACTGATAAAAAAAAGTTTAAGGCAATAAGTACACAGTATTATCATACCAATAAAATATCCAAAGTGCCATTATATGGATGGACAAAAGTATTTCTGCACAAACATTAGTCATCTGGAACCTGTGCATCATCGACCTGATCAGTATTTGGGAACTGCTGTGTTACGTTACACCTGTGGTAAGTTCATTTGCAGCAAGAGAACAATGACGCAATTTACTTTTCCTGGTTAAAAAAAAAAAAGTCTAATATAGACAACAGTAGCTACGCATCCTCAGGATCCTGATTTTGTTCCATACTATCCAAAAGCTCAAACCCTCCCAGCTGGGCAGAGCCTAGGTAACACGCTTTCATGTGATTCGTGAGGTTCTTCTGCGTACCAAAGCCCTTGCCACAAAACAGACACACAAAAGTACGCTCGTTTGAGTGCACAGACATAAGATGCCGGTTTAAGTCTGTCTTGTCTCGAAACAGTTTGGCACAGTTAGGACACTGCATCTTCTTACAGTTGAAGTGGATTGTCTTTTCATGCCGATCCATATTTGACTTCAGAGTGAAGCTTGCAGGACATTTGGAGCACTGGAAGCGAGCGAGCTGACCTTGAGGCACGCTGTCCGCGAGGCCCGGCTGCGAACGGGCAGCGAAGCCAAATGGGAGGATCATGGAGAAGGCGTGCTCGAGGACGTGCTCCTTCAGCTGGTTAGCACACTCAAAAACCCTCCTGCAGAAACCACAAGCCAGTCTCTTGGTCAGGGCTGAATCTAGGAATAGGCCATCATTGCTTAAGTCCATGTCTTCAGATCTTGAAAAACTTAAATCTAAAACAGAAATACACATATACACATACAAATCAATGTCTTCTGGTATAAAACAACAATAACTAAAAAATATTTCTCTCTTTTACTTACCTAAGTCAGAGTTATCAAACTGCCAAAGTGTTAAAAATCCATCGTAAGTGGCCTGCAAATGAAAAGTATACTTAAGTTAAGGCAGGCATTTACAAGAACGCATCTTTGTAGTTAATGCTTAGACTCCTGTCTTATCAATATCCTCATCGCTTGTGCAAGAGAGCTTCATCATTGAACTTGGCAATGCTACTTGCCTTTACAAAATGTTCACTGCTAACAAAACTTAGTTACTTAGGCATCAAATCTTGCAGAATATGGCCTAAAGACAGTAATTAGCATTGCTCTTTAGGTTCTTGGTAGCAGTACTCAATTTTCAGTGTCTCTAAGCACCTGTAGCTCCCACTCAAGCCAGTGGGAGACATGGGATAGAAAATTTCTAGCAGACGCAACAGAACTGGAAAATTTTCCCTTAGCCCTACAAAGATCCTTCTTTCGGCAGAGAAAAGCCCATGCAAAACGATCTACCTTCTGCTCAGTTCCCTTTATGCAACACTCGCTGGCATTGCTGATTCAAATCATAAATAAAAGCTGATTTTTTCATAAACCATTTGCAATATGCCAGCGTGTGGCAGATGGCAACCCTCCATGAGGCAGAGCATATGATGCAGTTTGGGCAGGTCTGTCAGAGACCGGGGAAGTGCCTGTTAGCAGTTCTTACCATCTCATTTTGCTCTAAGGTGACTGCAAAGGCAAATCTGTTTTCACCCATTCGTTTAATGGGTACAAAGTCTTATTCAAAAATACTACAAAAATAAGAAATGCTACAGAAAGCTATGGATTTTATGTCAAACTTCTGTATTACAGAAAATCAGCCTGCTTCTATCCATACCTAACTAGTTCCAAGAAACCCAAATCCAGAAACACCAAAAATAAGCACTAGACAGGGGGGTGCTCACATGCCTTTATGCCATTGTTAATATTCTTACATATGATGTTTTGCAAACTAATGGATTTACAATAAAAAGACATGTATACTTAAAAAATAGAGTTTTCTGAATGCAAGCTCTGTTGAGGTAAGGAGGAAAAGGGTAAAATCAGGACAACGCCAGCTCTGACCTCAACAGATTTTTAGGTTTTAAAATAGCTAATTTTTTTTAGAATGTAAGTTAAGAGATCAAAGTACTCCTAATTGGGGAGAAATTGATTGAATAGGTTCCTGCACATTTAAAGTTTTTGGAGTTCCCCCCCCCCCACGATCTTACCTGGGTTGAGGAAGGCATCTCTTCTTTTATCATGGTTTCTGGTGACATTTCACCAGAACAGCAGATCGCAGGGGGGCTCTGAGTGGCAAGGTGTGATGAAGGCAGCGGGGGAGATGGTGCTTCCACTTTGCCATCACATTCGCCCCTTGAACGATTCAAGTTGGTGCCAGGCCCTGAGGAACACAGGAAACGAATCTCACCCACGTGAACTAGCACCAGCTGGTGGTTTTAAAAAAGGCCTTGAAAAGGCAGTGAATGAGCACTTGCAGCTTATCTTCTGTCAGTGGGAGGGAACGCAGCAGTACAGTGATGCCAGGCTTTTTGTTTTGTTTTGTTTTTAAACCAGCCTCCCCACCCAAAATGCCTTGTTTGCGTATGATGTGTGTGGTGGAGATACATCTCATGGCATGGTCTCTAAAGAGTCCGTCGGGAGAAAGAAGCACAACGCAGCACAAGTATCCAGAGCAATCACAGTTCTGAAAGACGCTTCTTTGGGAAGTACCACTTCAAATATACACATTGAAATTTTCAATTAACATACATACAGGAAACTTTATTCTACTACTAAATTTCTTTAAAATTTAGAGCTATAAAATCCAAGATTTTATATCCAAGGTTTTATTTAATATAGAACTGTTATTCCTTGATCTCAAAGTGCTTTACAAAAGATAGGAAAAAAAATGTATTACTCTGATTTTATAGACTTGGAAGTTGAAAGAATTGTACAAAACTATTTGTTATATCTGACAGTGATTACATTCTAAACATCTCCTGCAGTTAATAAAAGAAAACATGTTATTTGTCTGACCAAAGTAGAACCATACTCTTTTCCTTACTCTGTAGCAGCAGCCAGACGGAATACCATGTTCCCCCAAATATGCTGATAATCAGTGACAAATCTATATACAATTAAAGACTGTGACCGAGACCAGCTTCTATACTTTACAAATTGTTAATTAAACCTTAACAAACACTGACTGCACATTGGCATTGACTACATATTGGAATGAAGTATCGAGCAGGTTATTATTTTTGAGAAGACGGCAGGAAAAATCAGAAGCAAATTTTGCATGCTCATATAAATTACAAGTAGTACACTAAACAAGTTCGTATTTAGAGCACTTTATGCCCTAAAGGCTTTTTACTCTTATTACAAAAGAGCATGACTGAAACTTTTTTGCATACAAAAACACTCTTTAATGCAGCTACAAATGACAAGTCACAACGTTTATACTACGTCCCAATACAATACACTGACCTGGCTCACAACAAAGCATTCAAGTAGAACTGCATAAAGGTTTCTAGATATGAACAACGCAAAATTTAACTTTTTATCAGCTCTCAAAGGAAATTCTACTCTCGTACCACAGGCTGGATGTTTGAGTTACTTTGCTCTGCTCTGATCACAGACTGAAGTCTTGCACAACTTAGTTAAATCTACTCAAGTGTGACAATACGTGAAGCTTGCTTTCCGGTAGTGCTCATATTTTGCTACCATAATTTAAAGAGAGGACAACAAAACACTGGGACCCCGTAAGTTGAAGATAGGAGACAACGGGAAAAAAGGGTAAATTCATCAGTACTTCCAGTCAGAAAGTGTTACTAGGGTTATAGCTTTCTAGGCTGATAGCAAAATTCCTTCCTAGCCATCCAAAAGTTTCACTGTTTGTCTGAATCTCACAAAATGATTCAAACTGTTCTATTTATTTAGAGCCACACGCTGTGACTTCAGGCAACTCAGAGGAAGCTCTGGGTTGCGTTTCCTTAAACAACCTGTATTTCAGCATACAGTAAAGACAAGCCAGTGGTCTGGCTTTATTAATTCTTTATTAGCATCTTTACAAAGTTATACAGGTTCCTAAGAAACTACACACTTCTTAAAGCAAAAGTTAAGGTTAATAAACGAGTAACGAAATAGAATAAGGAGAAACAATAAACTTGATCATTCAAAATGAGTCAGGAAGATATGTAACACAACAAAAAGGTACAAACATGAATTTTAAAACAATAACAAATATTTATTTGGTTTCAACAACTGCAAGCATCACAAGAAGAGAAACCACATAAATGATCCATAGTCTGTATGCAAGAACACAAACAGCAACTGATTTTGGGTTTTGTCCCATTCTGACTAGTATGGTAAGCAACCTCTTTTTAGCTCCTAAATTTGTATTTGTCTTCAACGAAAAGTATTTTAGCTTTTTAATCAGAAATTAAAGGCGCTTTCCTTCAGTCAGCTTTGCATATGGAACAAGATGCCTTGGTTTGGCAGTTATCTATATGACTATAGTATCCTCCGTTGTTCAGAGGACCGACAGCTCGACAGTAAACTAATTGTTGAAAACAAACAGAAGGGTAAAAGTTATTATATCTTGTTTAAAATGACAACCACTCTCCCCCAAGTCTTGGTTTACCATGTACAGAAATTCCGTGCCAAACTGAATACCTTTAACTCCCACTTGGGAAAAGTGACCACTGTGTAAATGTATTCCTTTAACATCTAGGGCAAGTATAAATTATCACCTCCAATGAACTGCTAACTAAAAATAAAGTATTAGCCAGTTTGCCCAAAAGAAAAGGGCTCTGTGCACCATGTAATCACTTGGACAACAAGTTTCATAGGAATTGCTTCTATAAACAGTTTTAGTTGCAACAGGGTAAACAGGAAAAGCCAAACTTAGACACATAAAGAAGTATGCAACATGCCATTCTGAAAACGTGAAAGGATTCACTCTTTAAAGCAGTCAATCATCCCCAAATCTGAAACCTTTTGGACTTTTTTTTTTTTTTCTCCAAATGTAAAAACAAGAATGCAAATTAACCAACTCATTTTTTAATGGGTATTAAAGTTCTCATTCTCTTGCTTATACTTGGCAAAAACAGCTAAAAAACGTTCAACTAAAAAGCCTTTGAGAATTGTATAAATGTGGTGTAACTGTACGCAACAATGCTACCAAAGTTCAGCACCATAAATAAAACACATATTGTTAAACAACAAAGGGACTTAGTACAATAGCACTGCTGAAGTTGGAAACGGGCAAAAAAACTTGCCCTGGCCCTTACAGACAACTCAGGAAAACACGTAAAGACACGGAAAACTGAGCTTCTTAGGTCTCATCTGAAAGACATCTCCAACAAGAAATTATGCAGGTTCAGTAACTAACGATACTCAAGAAGTCGTCAGTATTGCCCATGAGTAACTGACACATGTACTTTTCCTGTAAACCTGCATGTTCTTTAGATTTCCAACAAGCGTATTAAGAAAGTCAGTCTTGATCATACACCATGGAATTTCATAAATTCTCAAAGCCATCTAGCTGCAGGTCATCTGGCAACCACACCACCTGAACGCCAAGATATTCAGATTTTCCCTTCTGTTTTTAAATTGTTTCAAATGGGTTAACTTTAAAAATACTATACTTTTTCTCCACTATATCATAGTAATACTACACATGTTTCACTATATCATAGTAACGAAGTGATGTTCATGGAAAAATAAAAAAAAAAAAACCACACCCCATCCTGTGCTCTGTTTTCCATTAACTGAATGTTAAGTAATTTCACACCTCACACTATCATTACAATCTACAGTGAATTAGAAAAAAAGAGCATGAGCTAAAATGAAAACCTTGGGGTAACCTCTACTAACTTTTACAGCAATGATGAACTACATGAAAGAAGACTTCAAACTTGGAATATGCGCAGTAACTGTGAGAGTTATACCCCCTTTAGAAATGGCTCATCAGAATTTCAAACGTGCGTAGTACGTTCTTCTGATCTCTCACCTCAACTATGTCTTACTCCGGAAAGGAAAAATAAATGTCAACACCGTCACTTGAGTCAGTTACTTACTGTATTAGTTCAAAAGAAAACAAGAAAATTGTCTAGTGGTTCCAGTTAAGATTAAAGTACATTTTATGTTTTTTAAACTCAGAGAGAATGCTCACTTATAATTCTTTAAATTAATACATTTCCTTTTCAAATGAGACAAATGAAAACTACCACACACTGCTCTTTTTGGTCTTAAAAGAAATTTTGTTTACTGTGCCCCTGCCCTACCCCCCTTTTATTTATTTATTTTTTTTTACTTAACCCAGGAGTTAAAATGACTCAACATCCTCAAATTGTGTTTGTAGAAAAAGTGAAAAACACCTACAAAGCTAGCACTGACCTAGACCTAGATGGTGTTTTCAGATCTCCAGAATTTTATCACTTGCTTTAACTGTCATTTCATACACTGAAAATTCTTATTAAACTCCTTGTCCTGTTGTATTTAATAGTGACCACAAAACACATCAGTCTTATATTACGGTATCTTCTTCAAGTAATTAAAGTAAATAAAAACCTATGACTCTGAATAAGACAAAGACAAAACACATTCCCTAATGTCCGCTTCATCTGTAAAATAATTATCTTTTCAGCCACAGCCAACCCCCTTACTGTTGTGCAATCTACAGACCAAATTTGCCTTAAGTAATTCACTTTTCCATAAAGATGAGGCAACCGGAGCTTAGCGGAATGAAATTCATACAATAGCGAAAGGACAGGAAAACAGGGACCTCAAGCACAGCCTGGAAGGGAACTCCCGAGTCATCACATCCATTGATGATCTATCGTTTACCCCCATTTATAAATCTATCAAGCTTCATTTTAAGCCTAGTTGGTCTTTTGCCTACATCATGCCTGTTTCAGAACTTCATTTCTCAGCTGGTTAGACAGCCTCTAATTCCTAGCTTAAATTTATGACTGGTTTCTACTCATTTGTCTTTATGCCAAGTGGTCCTTTAACTTCGAAGTATAATCCAAAACCCCCAAACCAAGAAAAAGATGACGGATAGAGTGCAGTCCAATCATTATTCCAGTTTATCATGGCAGCAGATGAAACCACTAATTTCATCAGTCATGAACCAGAGATTCCAACGTACTGTGCATAAATCACGCCCCTAGCCTCAGGCTGCTCTGTAGCCCCCCCCACTCAGGGGCCGGGGAGGGCACCCTGTTTGTTGCACCCAAGCCCGGTGCCTAATGGCTGCAGAGGATCTTTGCTATTTCATTGCAGTGAAGGGATTTTCTTAGCTTAGTTTGAACCATCTAAATCTGATTTAATTAGAGATTATTCGATAAGCAAACTACTGTGGAAACAAGAGTGTCGCATTAACAACTCCCTCCCCTCCCCAATATTTAAGCTGCAGAAGAAGGTACAAAACTTTTGCTTTTTCTCTAAATCAGACAGATTAAAAAAAAAAAAATTCACTGTTAGGATAGGGAAATGGAAAAGAGATACCAAGACTGACATTATGCTGTGCAGTTATTTCCCTTGTCATACAGTTTGAGTGACCATTAACTTAAAGGGTAATCTATTTTTTGCCATCAAAGGAAATAACAAAAATTAGATACCTTAAGTGAACTTGTCACTCTATTTAATCAGGCCAATCTCTTCGCGTAGACTAAAATAAGCCTTCTGGGCTGGAAACTGACAGGTAGTACTCAGAAACCTGTTCTATGTTATGTCACAGACTGTTCCACGCACTCATGTTCCCATCTTTGAAAGCGTTATTCAAATACAACATTTACAATTTTTTTGTTTGTTTGTGTACCACGGAATCAAATTACTTTACAATCCCAATGAAGATATGCAAGTATGCTGAAAAATACACTGTCCACACGTAGTGGTACGTAACAGCTGTGCCCAACAGATCACCAGTAGCGAAATACTCATTTCCAAGCACATTTAGAGTTGGGGGTCTAAAAGTAAATATCAAAAAATAAAGACCATGTGACCTACAAATTCATAACTGTTTTTAAGAATATAGGAGCAACAGTCGAGCAACAGTCCTTCCCCCAGTTTTAACATTAGCCAATTGTGGATTCAAAACCTGTGCAGCTACTTTTTAACTGAAGGACTGGAACGATGGTTTGTAACTACCGCTTTGTAAACAAGTAAAACAAACTCAGTGATAAGTGCTACATTTTATATATATGTAATAGATATATATATATATGTAAATAACACACACAAAGATATATATACATATAATGCTACATACTTTCCACTTACGGCTTCAGAAGTTGACATTAAAGTTGTATCAATAAGAGACACAGGTTTCCAAATTTTATAAGCATGACTAAGCAGAATGTAAGACTGGATTCAAACAGTTAAGTAGTAATAAACTAGGAGGTGGCCTGTATTTTCTTCTCCTCTCACTAAAGGTTTCACTTAAAGTATCAGTAAGCAAAAATATAAAAACGCAAACTTACGAGATAAAGAGTGCGTGCCTTTGGGTAAGTACTCAAAGAGCAGAGAACTATCCTCTCCCAGCATGTCAGCTTTCAGAGACAGCAAACTGTTCTTACTCATGAGAGCGGCCCGCAGGTTGGCGACCGTGGCAGCCTGGAGCGCGTCCTCCTTCTCTGGCGTCAGCGGCTGGGAGAGGTAGCTCGCTTCGCCCCCCAGCAGCGCTTCGTCCACGTTGGCGTAGAGGTCCGACCGCTCCACTCGGCTGTCGGAGCTGCTGGGCTCCGTGACGGCCGCATCAGCACCTGCGCGAAGGAAGACGCTGTCAGAGACACGCAGCTCTGGGATGAGGCACGTCGGCCACACGTGCGTTTCTAATCACGCGTCCAAGCGTCAGAAACGCACGGCCGCCTTGCGACCGCTCCGCCATCTTCCGTTCCCTCCCACCCCCTACTCGGAAAACCCCACAGATGAACGCGGCCTTTCACAGGCTCCAGACAAAGTACGCGCAGCTCAGCTCTGCCCGCACACCCGGTGACGCGCCTTCCCCCAGGCTCTGAGATGTGCACACAAGCCCCAACCAATAACTGGAATTTATATATATATAAATAAAAAATTTATTTTACTACTACAGAAACCTCAATACCTAGCTGCATTAATATTTTAGGACAGCATGCTAATACTGAAATTACTTTCAAACATTTAAGTTCTGGTTTTCTTTAATTTTACTCTGATAGTCTCAAACGCTCCCCATGATGAAGGTTTAAAAAAAAAAAAAAACACACAGTAATAAATTGCCTGTAACAGTGGACTGCTAATCCGTATAAATTTCTTGGAGGCATTTATTTGAAAAATACACACTAAGTGCTGGTTCTCAGCCTATATCAGAGAGAAGAATTTATATAGAAGCGATACCCATCATAAGGTGGATAATCTGACTTTTATAGTGTATCTGCTAAGAAACTGTATAAAGTATAATGGACTATTAACAAAAACATCAGTTAGTGAACCCATACAAAAATGAAAAGACTACAACAAGGTAATTCCTCCCTGGCTTACCTTGCTATAGCCTTCTCATTTTTGTAGGGGTTCATACATATAGACGTACGTATACGTGTGTATATTTATTTTTGCAATTTTTTTCTCTCTCTCCGTGTGAACTTTGATTCTCCTACAGTCTCAAGTACTTTGTGTATTTTTATGTAAAGGAAAGTGACTCTTATCCATATCTCTACTCTTCACAAGAATCCCTCCCTCCTGCCGCAAGGGTTGTTACCCCATTTACACAGTGCACATAAACTACAATTCACTAGCCAGGAACATGCAGAAACGAAATACAGCAAAATGATTCAAAACCCAACCAGGTAGATGGCTAAAATGGCTAAAGGTTCCCAACGAATGGATGCCTTTGTAGCGTTTGTACTGTTCAAGACGGAGAGAAAACAAATCCGAATCCCATGAGAAGGCACTGATAATGAGCGATCAGACAGAAAAAGATGCATTTTTGCAGATCTTGAACACTTCATTGCCTCATAGTTCAAAATACTTTACAATCTACTTAATGCAAAAGGCAGCCATTACACTCCAAAGTGGGGGTATGTGTACAAAACTAACTTAGTTGCATCCATTAATACATCTTGCACCAATTCTCAGTGCAAGGAATTAAGGTGTTGGCTATGTACCACACAGTAACAATCACTTATTTCTATACAGAGGCTTCTCAACAGCATGGCATGCAGAACTTATTGGGAGGGAGGGAGGGAGGGAAGGAAGGATCGCACATGCATACTGGGTTGTAGCATTCAGAAATTTCAAAACCAGGGCAAAACATCAATTTGTATAGCCTTATTAACAATGCTAATGAGGACACTAATACAGTGGCTTTCTTCTGTAATCTGGAAAACTGCTAAAGGAAGACCGTTATTTTCATCTCCATTGACAGATGGTAACGGCCGCAAAAGCAGCGACTTGCTCAAGGTGTCCAGTGTGCCAGCGGAGCCCGTATCAGACTCAGTGCATTGCCTAGCCCCAAGCCCAAAGCATTTTAGATCCCTTAATGTGTTCAGATTTACTTTACAAAATTGTACTGTATTGCATGTACAGAGGTTCATTACAGCTTGCCGTTAACTTTTTCTACTTCCTTTAAAAAAAAAAAAAAGAAAGAAAGAAAGCCTAAAGCAAATAACAAGGAAAACAATGATCATGAGCAAATAGTACTCCTACATTTAGGCAATATTCAAGGTTGGGGACTACAAACACGATAGCAGCATCTACATGAACTATCAGAGATGTTCTCTTTGAAGTTATTCGCCCTCCTCCATCTGTTTTGTTTGTGTAATCTTATCAGTTTTATTAAATCTTAGCCAACCAGAACATTTTAATTGCTTTGAATTTTTACCTATTTTGTCACACTTCTATTGCAGGGCAAACAGTTAACAGGTATACACTTTTTTTTTTTAATGATATCAAAGTCTGTTTTAAAAACAAACATTTCCATATAAAGGGAAATTAGGAGAGTTTAAAAAACACAACAGCTGTTCCAAGAGGTGATGAAGAAAGGAAATTCTAGCCCATTAAAACGGTAATTTATCAAACAGCTTTATCAAACAGAAAGCAACGCCAGCGCTGCTATTCCTCTGCTTCTCACCGTCTACTCTGCAAAACATGGTGAATGATCTGGGCCAGAGAGAGTGTTTGTCAACAAAACCATGTTGCCAAATAGCTGGGCAGTAAATCACCTTGTGTTTTCACTTCTGTTTTCATAGGCAGCTACAGATGCTGATTGACAGTTGCCAGAATCTGTTGCTGCCTGCTGCACATAAACACTAATTGCTAAAACACATGCAGATTAATTGTAACCACAACAAGACATTAAATGTTCCTCAAAAGCCAAGATTAGAGACAGACAGTGAAACAGAGGCTTTAGAGCTTGAAGTATTTATAGCTGAAGTAACCTAATCAAATACACATTAAGGCAAAATAAATATCCACTTAGTCACATAATTACTAAAACACTCTCAGTACACCAAAACCCCAAAATGCTTGAAGTTCCTCTTCATGGAGCCTCCAAAACCACTTCTCTCTTTTCTCCAGGATGCAGCTTCTTTTAATAAGATCTAGGCAAAGAATTATATGAATCAAAAGTATCCGTTACTGCCCAGTAATCTAAACTGTTTATCAAAGTGCTTCAAAAGTAAGTAAACCAAGCTTCAGTAAATGAGCTATTTTGTAACTATTCAAGGCAACGGGTCAGGCAAGCCTGACATCCTCATCTAAATCTTATAGTATTCATTTTTTAAACCAGTGAGACGATCCCTCGTATTGTATAGATTCCAGGCACCGCTCACAGGCGATCCTGATCAGGCCAGCAAGTTAAACGCGGGATTACCGCTGCTCAAAAACACTGAGCTCATTAGGCTCTTTAGCAAATAATTATTTTGCAGTTATTCTATTACACCAGCCGATTTTCAAAAACACTGAAGCTTTAGAAAAATCTTTATTAGTTTTTGGCAACACTATTTGCCATTCATCCTGGAAACTGCCAAAGCAGCATTTAAATAGTAAAGTTCTTATTTGCACATGAAAGCCTAATACAAAAGGCCTAGAGGAAGCCCAATTACAAGCACCTTCTTCCCCCAGAGCTCACCCGCCCCAGCTGAGCGGGCCATGACCACGACCGAATGCCCTTCAGTCCCAACCAGCCCTGCCAGGCAGGCTTTAGCAGGCCTATAAACAAGAACAGGGCTGGCGCCCTCGGACAGGGCGAGCAGCCTAACGCCCCCGACGCGCACGGAGCTGGCTGCTGCGCGGAAATTTACACTCGGGCAAAATAAAACCCAACCGTATACTTGCTCTGCGCGGGAGCTCGCAGAGGCGGGACGCTCGCTGTCTTTGCGACGTTACGTGAAGCCCTAATCCAGATTAGAAACCCCATTTAGCAGCAGGCATGCCACTGTTATCATAAAAAAAGATTTCGCGTGAAGCTTTCATTGGAAAGCACTACAAAAACGGAGATGTGGTCACAAGCCCAGGCATCAGAAAAACCAAACAAATACAAGGACCTAAGACTGAAGCATTTAATTTGCGCTTGTACTGCTAATTGGAGACAAAGTAATACTTTCTGTTCAAAACTATTTAGATATTCAAGGGCCATTTCAAAAATACGTTACTAATACAACACCAGCACAAAAGATTTACACGAGAAATGGAGATTAAGACAAAAATATTTAATGTCTAGTCACCGTTATCTTTAAAGAGTTTCATAACGTAGCTCCACGTTACTATAAAATCATGGGAAGTTATGAATATGACAGGCACACAGGCAGACAACCCTTCAGGGATCAAATAGTATGAGTAACACCTGTGAGCAAAACCAAGACATTCACATGATTCAACAACAAAACCAGATAGTTCTAGATCATATAAAAAAAGGCTCCAGGACAACGTTACTGATCGACGTGGCTGAGGACATCTTGCAGAAGAATCATCGAGGCTGCTGGGCTACTAGTGACATTTCTTCAGCTTGAGGTAAGTTAAGCCATCTACATAACCTTTCTCGAGGATTCATCGAGTACCTAGCGTTTCAAAACGGTCTGTCTAACATTAAAATTTACTGCTGCAATAAAAAGAGCAAGACCAGAAACCACGTTACAACGCTCACCAAGAGTGAAACAAACACATGAAAAATTTAATTCTACTGTGGCAGCTCTATCTGTAATAATACATGTGTATTTTAAAACTCACTTCAGTCAACTACAGTGTATCAGTATCAAGGTCACTATTGACAAGAAGTGTTTTTTTTTTTTAAATAAAGTTGTACTATTCAAAAAAATGAAGAAGTCATTTTTGGGAAGAAGTCTCTAGGGAAGAGCTATGACAGAAATAAAGGTCGTGCAGCTTACTAAAAATATGTGAATGAAACATTAAACTTCATAAACTATTTCGCAACATCCAGGAAAAAAGCTGTCAGCAAAAGCATTACACCAGGTCGAATGACTGAAAAGCGGCATGTGCCACCTCACAAGGACCACCTGGTTCACAGACATAGCTCCTCCATTTTAAAAGGAAGAGTCCATTCAAGTTCATAAAATAATTCATTTATTTAAGGCACAGAATAAATTTGTGTTGAATTTCTTTTCACTGCTTCATTTTTTCCCCCTGCTACAGCTTACACTTACACATTACCAAATTGTCTCCTCAGTGTCTGCTTGTCCGACACCACTTGCTTCTTGCTTGTGCCGTGTTTTTATCTTCTCAGCATATCCCCAGTGATATTTGTCATTGCTATTCTTCTCTTTCCCAATTT